CCAGAATGAAGCGCCGCTCTGTATTTTTTAAAGCATTTACATACATTTACGTACAATACCATTCTGCCAGACTGAGTGGCTGCGCTACCCAGACGGAGATCCAGCATATTTAACTTTAATTACATAACGATCATCAATTGTTTTAACCGCTCAGTGCATTGAAATCTTAGTGATTGCCTAGACTGAAATAAGAGCGAATTGATCTGCGATTCCCCATCATCCATTTCTTGAAGGAAGCTGGCGGGACAGTGTGGCAGACTGGCCAGAGGGCCTTAGAGACTGTCAGGGGTTGGTTTAAGATGGTTCGACAGCAGCCTAGTCTCAGGATCTATTTATGAGTGTGTTTTCTCCTGGGTGTTTCTGAAGGTAGATAGAGGCAGGCTAGAATGTGCAGTCTGTGCTCAGTAGCTGAACAGCTGTTATAAAGGAGGCTGTATGTAATAGCATTCAATCTCTGTGGTAGACTCGCAAGCCATAGGTTACAGTGCAGTGTGGTAGAAGACTGGCTCACTACGGGGCCTATCACCATCAGGTGTGCTTTGAGGTAGGTGCAGAATGTAGTAAGTATGATAGGTGGGTCTCTCACATTGCACCCCTTGTTTGCTGGGATAGACTCTACGACCCAGTACTGGATAAGAAGGTTAGAAAATAAACGGGTGGATGGATTTGTTCAGGAAAAGAGACACACAGGCACAGCCGTGTGAATTTAAAATATGTTCTTTATCTACAACGCAGTGAAAATCAAAACTCAATACAGAAGCCACGCTCCTCTTTCGAGCTTGGATTAAACTTCGTCTCCGTAAAATCTTCTCTGGGTTCTCCGGAGTTCCACACCCCTGGGGTTTCACGGTGGGACTGTTACGTCCCTCTCTCCCTCTGGCGCAGTGCGTAGCAGAGCCTCCGACATCTTTCCAAGGTTATCAGATAAACTCCGGAAGACTTGGACAGAGGGATTGCTCAGCAGATGCAAGTTGGATTCTAAAATACCAGGTTCAACAGGCGCACGGTTATAGGGAGGGATGTCACTGATCCACCGAGCTGGTTCTGGTTCCACAGGACTATGGGCCGACCGCAGAACTGGATATTTAAAGGGCTCAGACCCTCGCGCTCTTATCCCCTTCTCATTTGTGATTCTGATTTCGATCTGCATGTGTGGGTGGGTAATAAGGGGGACACCTTTAAGCTGATGTGTCTTCTCGCGTTCTGCTCGTAAAATAATAACAATAAGGGAGTATTATGTTTATCATGATAATACAGGAGTCTCAAGTCCTGATTAGAAGTGACTAAGTGGTTGAGCTAGTTTCTCTCCATTCTTATTCATGGAAACAGGGCTGACCCCAGTATGGAACTGTAATTCTGCCCTCCGGTTAAAAGTGACAGGCGTGATTCGAATGCAGCAGTGAGCCTTTGAGACGCTGGGCTGGTATATTCACAGAGCTCTGTGGGGAAGTGGGAACATGAATAATGCATGACATGTTCTCTTATTATTCCACTCAGGAGCAGAGCAGGGCTACACCCCCCCTGTAAACACTGACACTGTAAAGTGCATCAACAGCTGCATGTCGTGTGGAAGCCCTTCAGACAGGGTTAGGGATTCAGTCCACTTTGTGGAAGGTACTGTACTCTCCACACGTCAGCAACGCATGCTCAGTGTGGCTTCAACCCCTTCGCAGCTCACTGATGGCCCACAGCGCTTACTGAACAGCCTTGGAATCTGCAGCCGTGCTCATCTGCAATTGCAATCTGGTTTCGTGAAGGTTGTTGCAATATTTCCTTATTCAAAACCCTTTCTGATCTCACTCCTCCTGTGCAATGCAATGCAAAAGAAGCAAAACAGATGAGGCAGTTAATGTTCAGAGAGGACTCTGTGCTCAGGTCTGCTTGGTGCTCACTTGAGGAAGACTTCCTGCAGATCTTTCAGCTCACTAAACAAACTGATGGACAGGTGAGAACATGCCCAGTTCAGTACCTTGCTGAAGCTAGTCCGGATAAAGAAATCTGCATTGCTAATAGTTACCACCTTCTAGCTCATCAGATCTCAGAAACCGTGCAAGGCTGGGCTTGGTCAATACTGGAACGAGAGACCTTTAAGAAAAACCAAGTGAACCACTTGGTTGAGAAATTTGCATGCTTCACATTATATAGTATGTTTTGTTTATTAGATGAGAAATATGTTTTCAGACATAATTGCTTTCAAATGCAGCAGACTAAATATTTTTACTACTGGAATATTCATCTCGCCCTCCTCTTTTCCTTTAATAAATCAGACTGGAGGGAATGTTCTGCTTCCAAAGTCTTCCAGCAAAAACACAGGTCCCGGTTTGATGTTTTTCTCAAAAGAAAATGAATTACACAGGAAACACTTTGCCCATATTTCTCTGTATTTCAAGAATAACATATTTTTTTCTGGTTTTTCATTCTGTTAAAATAATAAAGGGCCCAGCCTTTCAGAGTGTCGTTATTCAGAGCAGTGACTCCATTCTGCAGGTAATTAAATTCTCAGTGGCAGAAAGACAGAGAGCAGGGAGCTGAGGTGAAACAGTCACAGGCTCTGTGCACAAAAGCCTTCCCTTGCCAATTAAATGGCACTCAATCATTCCTGCAGACTGGGGCACAGTTGGGAAACTGAACACTTGCCACTCTTCTGAAGAGAGGGATAAGGCTTGGGTAAGAGGGCACGGGAGACAATGGGCGCAGCTCAGTGCTCAAGCCAGTCCAGTTGTCCCTAACAAAGTCACAGTTTCCACAGCACACACCCTTGTGAAAAGTGCCCAAGTCTGACTTTCCCATGATTGTGGCCTTGTATTGTACTTCTTACGATTTCCAGGGGTTTTATCTTGCTGAACTTTACACCATATTTTTCTTCATCTGCGCGAAACACAGTATTTCATTATTTATATGGCTTTTTCCAGGAAAGGGGTCAGAACACCCTCTGGACATCAGGCAAGAGTGTCGAGTCCAGCAGTCTTTTCTGAAGAAAGAAAGACCCATGTCTTCCTCCCTCCCCAGCGCACCATTATCTGTTAAAAAATGAAGCCCCAGTACAGGTCATCTCATCTTGTACGCCACTTCTGATAGCTGCACGCCAACTGCTATAGGCGGCAACACACCTGCTTCAAAGGTTTCCCCTTTCGGGGTCAGGACTTTCTTCGGCCCTGAATCTCCGTTTCTTTATTCCTCCCGCCTTCATTCTTCGCCATTCTCGTGCCCCTCTATGTTTGCGACCTCACCCTCTCCCCCTCGTCCCTCTTCATCCTGACTTCGTTTTGGTTGCCGACCAATCCCCTGCCCCCACTCCGGTGGTGAAGTGAAGCCTAGTGTTAGCAGTCTGATCACATCACCAGTCCTGCAGACCTGTGGGGGGGGGGGGTTCTTCTTAAGTGCAAATTCAACCTCTCACAGGAAAATTAGTTGAAGAACCTCACAGCTGATCTTTACCATGTATTCCAACAGCCATAAAGATACCTCTACATTTGCCTTCTCTTATCAGATCAACTCCTAACAATTCAGTGCAGGTTTTTTCATCTGCAATGCTCTCGGTCTGCGTAGAGCTTTTGTGCTTCGTTATGCAGCCCGAGCTCAAAGATCCTCCTCCATTTACACAGAAAAGCTCACAATGTACATGCCCACAATCTGTAACCCTGTTACCTAACATTGCCCACTGTTACAAATGCAGCTGTGACTGTAATTTAAGCTGATGGTCGGGAAGCACTAGTTTTTGCTGAATTAACATCCCGTGTTGAATCGGGATGTCAGCTCCATTATCTGTATCATTACTGACTGGAATTCTGTGCGGCATGCCTGCCCTGTGTAGTTGCGGGAAATGAATCCATTTGAACAGTTTGGGCTAACCTCCGAGAAACGGAAAGGGAGATCCTGGTAGGGGAGAGGAGCCCGGAGAGGCAAGGAGCTGTGAGTTAATTGGATCCAAATTCCAAAGGGCCTGGAGAAGTCACACTGATGCCTGTCAGAATGGAGAACCAAGGCAGAGAAGATTCTCGTCTTGTCGGGCGATACAACGAGTGTATCTGAAAGTCTGGCACAGTTCTTAAAAAGATGAGCTCTTTTCAGGCTTACACCAGAATCCCAGTCTTGAACACGTTTTGCAACACTTTGAGGACTCCAGGAGCTCCAGGAAAATGGCCAGCAGGGGTGTCTTGTTTGGTTACTGTGCTCTCAACAGATAGCCTTTCACTGCAATTGAAGAGCACTCTACTTTCATTGGTGATCTTCAGTCAGGAGCGAGGGATAGAGGAAGAGAAGTCAGATTATAATGTTACAAGAGGATACGAGTCCTCCATTTGTTTTTTTTGCAGCTTCAACCGTAAGGATGTGAGAAAGATGAGAGAAGGGGTTTAAAGGGTACATCTTGAGAAACATCACTCCACCCTGCGATGTCTTAATTGGCATTGAAAAGACTGAATACCTCCCTTAAATCAAGAACAGACAGAATGTAGAATGAACAATATTTCCTCACAGAAATGAGAACTTTGTTTCTTCAGGTGTGTCAGGCGCCATGGCAACATTGTGCTGGGGGAAGCCGACATTGTCTCCACTGTAACCTCTGCAGAGGCTTACAGGCTTTATTTATGCAGGGAGGGCAAACCTTAAAACACAAAAATCCCAGACAGTCCTTTGCTAGAAGAAAGATTAAAATATCACTTCCAGTTTTGACACACAGACAGGGAGAGAAGCTTGGGGTCAGAACGCAGGGTCAGCCATTTACACAGCGCCCCTGGAGCAGCTGGGGTTAAGGGCCTTGCTCAGGGGCCCAACGGAGTAGGACTCCACTGCCAGCCGCGGGATTTGAACCAACAACTTTCCAGCCACAAGCGCACATCCTTAGCCACAGTGCCTCTGCTCCGCCCAGTGAGTGAGAGGTGCTCATGATATAAATCTTCCAATGATGTTGGCTAGGAATTACCCTTCCTGACCCAGAGCTGTGGTCTTCCTAGCTGCGTTTCAGGTCCTCACCCCTCCCTGCTGTTTTTTTTTTTTAGGTTCTCCGCGCTGCATCATGCTGCTCTCAACGGGAACACAGAGCTCATTTCCCTGCTGTTGGAGTCCCAGGCCACTGTGGACATCAGAGACCAGAAAGGTAACATTCGGCAGGACTGTAAACTGCCACCACTGCGCCCTCTGGTGGCAGAAGAGAAATACTCAGGCACTGAACCAGGGGAGCTGCTCAGCTCTTCACGAGGAGCATGAAACCCCTTGCGGTGATCCGTGAAATAATGTGAAAACTATATTTTTCTTTAAAGCATGCAGCTTGAACTTTGATCTGTTAAAATGCATACTGGAACTGGAAGAGGAACTAGGGTAAGTAATTGCACACACCCTGCTGCACGATTGGAAATGCAGAGGAGAGTGGGCAGCCCTGCGTGGGCGGGGCCAGAACCACAGTGCAATGCCTCGTCTGTCCACAAAGGGGGCGCCAGGGAGTCGGGGAAGTTTCTAAAGCTGTGGCCCCGCCCTGTTCCCACAGGAATGCGCCCACTGCACTACGCAGCCTGGCAGGGGAAGGTGGAGCCCATGAAGATGCTGCTGAAGTCAGGCTCCGCGGTGAATGGGCAGTCGGACGAAGGGCAGATCCCCCTCCACCTGGCAGCGCAGCATGGGCACTACGATGTGGTGAGTACCGCCCCCCCCGCCGCGCCAGCGCCTCAGCACTGCGTTCGCTCTCCGGCTCATCCGGGGCTGGCAGGCTCTCGCGCAGGAAAGCCTGTGGCTTCATTGCAAGCTTTCTGTACGTACACTGAACAAGAATATATACATTATGCGGTCATCCCTTGCACGATCAACAGATACGAGGGGTTTCATTAATACAAACTGTGGCGATTCCTGGCAGTTTGTCCATTTAACGAGCAGACTTTCACTCTTCCGTCTTCCGGATGAGACATTAAACAGAGGTCCTGACTCTCAGTGGTTATTAAAGATCCCCGGGCATTTCTCTATAAGAGTAGGGAGTTATCCCGGTATCCAGGCCAAATCCTCCACCTCAGCCTTTAGTGTGGCTTCCCAATTGTCCCCATGTATGATCGGCTTGCACTTGCCCTGCGATGGACTGGCGTCCCATCCAGGATGTAACCTGCCTTGCGCTTGTTGCTTGCTGGGTAGGCTCCGGCTTCCCGCGACACTATGTGGTATAAAGCGGTTTGGCAAATGACATGACTTTCACTCTTACAAGCCAGGCTCCTGTTAGGCATTGCCGACATTCTTCTTTTCTCACACCTGCTCAGATGCCGAGTTGTGGGGGGGGGTTTCCCCCACAAAAGTAAGACATTTACTTGTCACATTTGAATTGTTCTTACAATAAAGGCTTGTGTGTATTAAGTGCATATAGTTCAAGTAGGGAGCTACATCAGCATGCACAGGCTGCCAAGGAACAAGTTAAAGGTTTATTCCATGCCGAAATAGAAGAAAGGAAGCACAGCGTTTCAGCTGTGGAGCCTTCTTTGGGTGTGCTCAGAGACTGAAACCAAGCTAGCTCTTGGGGAGTTTTTCCCCCCATCAGATCACATCTCAGTGCATATAGTACAGGCTAGTACCTTATGTCTAGAATTTTTGCAAGTGACTGTTTATGCATCAGCTCAAGACTTTTAGCTTGTGATATTGTTGTCACATGCACACAATGACCAGTCTTTGCCACAAAGGCCTGTAGCCCGTTCCAGGTTGCCATCGGTAGCCTCTCTGATCAGTCTCCTTTTTGCTCGGTCGTCCAGTTCGGAGGGATGGCCTGATCTAGGCAAGGTCTGGGTGGTGCCACACACCTTCCATTTCTTAATGATGGTCTTGACTGTGCTCCATGGGATACTTTGAATTCTTTTTATACCCACCTCCTGCCTCATTCCTTTCCACAAGTTCTTTTGAAAGCACCTTTCCATCCATAGTGGATTCTTCACTTTGAAATGCACTTGCAAGCAGTGGAATCCTCTTGGAACAGCTGCTTTTATTCTGAACTAATCCAAATCACCACAATTGATCACAGGTGGGAGCCAATTTGTTTGTTGTGTGATCTGTAAGGTGATTGGTTATGCCTGAGCAAGTTTACAAATGCAATTGTAAGGGGGGGATATTCACTTATCCAAATAAGGTATTTTACTGTTGTAATATTAAGTCATTTTCAGAATGTTTTGGAATTTTATTTTCACTAGGGTAATGTGTGTGACTATGTGTAGATAAAAATGGAACAAGCCTAATTTAATTTGTTTCGATACAACAAAAGGTACAATTTTTGAAAGTGGGTGGTGACTCTCTATACCCACTGTACGTAGGACATTGTCACAAACACATTTTCGGACATTTTCTTCTGTAGTTCTGCCTTGATCTGATTTATTTATGAATGTAAATCGGGACATCTTACACTGCTGTCACCTTGGGTCAATTATGTGAAGGTAGAGTATAAAGTATATACTATATACAGCATAAAGAGAAGCGATGTCATATAGACTGACAGCACAATTGTCGTCATGTAGACTGATCTCTTGTGAAGTGAAGCTGGGCTGGGCTGGGCTGGGAGCCCTTCAAGGAAAATGAGATAGCTGGTGTAGGTCGACCAGTAGGTGGCGCTCTTCCTTATGGCTTAGACTTTCTTCAAAATCCTCTAAAGTTATTAGGTTCAGGAGGCTTTAAAAAGCTTATATGGAATTAGTGAGCGTATCCTAACATTGCTTTTCTCCCAGTGCTTCAAAGTGTCATTTGCGTGGAGATGAGGAGTAACTTCCGAGGTGATCCAGACGATTAGTTTCATTATCGTGGAATCTGAAGCGTATTAAAACAACAGAGCATGGGGCCAAGCATCAACGCCTGATGTTCCCAATTATCAAAAAAAAAAGAAGAAAAATGCTGACACACAGTTCTACTGAAGAAAAGTGCTACTGTTGTGATTTCTGTGCCACGGCTTTAACTTTTGTGAGACGTCAGCGGGCTCTTATCGGGGAGAGAGATTTTACAGAGATAGGGAGACTCTGCACTGCAGGTCCTGAGAGACAGGTTCACCGCACAGAATGTTATATAAAGTCCTCTGGAGAGATGCGTCACCACTCGACAGGGTGGTTATGCAGATTTTACCACAGTAGTCCTGATCATTAATTGAATTAATGTACATGTAGGGTGATAAACTGAGCAGATTTGGCACAGTTCTTAAAAAGATGAGCTCCTTCCAGGTTTACACCAGCATCACAGTCTTGAACAAGTTTTGCAACACTTTTCAGGACTCCAGGGGTCAGGTCTGCAGGGGTGTTTGCTTGTTTATAGTGCTCTCGACATGTAGCTGTGCACTGCTATTGAAGAGCGGTTTTAATAGAGACTCTTGACTAATCCACTCAATGCAACATACTCTCACTGGCTCTGTTAAAACAAGCTAAAGATACCTGCCATGAAGATTGGCTCTTGCAGGGCTCCCTGTGTCCCTGGGTTATTTGTACCAGCTGAAGAACAGAGTTTTAATTGGCTTTCAATGGGACTCTGTGTTTCCTCAAAGGCCTCCAAGACTAGATTAGGAACATGATGGAGTAACATTAATGGATGATATTGCTTTTGATGACTAATGGGTTTGTTGCTTGAATGTGCGTTATCTCTCTCCAGTCCGAGATGCTGCTCCAGCACCAGTCCAACCCCTGCATCGTGGACAATGCCGGCAAGACACCTCTGGACCTGGCCTGTGAGTTTGGCAGAGTTGGGGTAAGTTGGGTCATGTTGTCGCCCTGTAAGGTGCAGTCTAGATCTGATACTGTGTGTGTTGGATTGCAGTGTTTGCGTTAGAGTGCAGTGCATGTGTAATGCAATGTGTGCTGTCATATAATGTCTATTTTGGATTGCAGTGGATGTGTAATACAGTATGTTTTATTGAGTGTAGGTGTTGGATTGCAGACTATATGTTTTGATGTACTGTGTGCGTCGGATTGCAATACCTAAAGCAATATAGTGTATGTGTTGGATTGCAGACTATATGTTTTGATGTACTGTGTGCGTCGGATTGCAATACCTAAAGCAATATAGTGTATGTGTTAGATTGCAGTGTATGTGTTATAATGTGCTGGTTGGATTGCAGTGTTGTGATGTATTGTGTGTGTTGGATGGCAGTGTGTGCTGATTTGCAGTATACTGTATGTTATAATGGACTGTGTTTGGTCACAGCGAGTGTGTTGTTATTCTCTGGTTTCTGTGCTATTGCTCCTGTGCAGGTGGTCCAGCTGCTGCTGAGCAGTAATATGTGTGCCGCCCTGTTGGAGCCCAAGCCAGGCGACTCCACTGACCCCAACGGCACCAGCCCTCTGCACCTGGCTGCCAAGAACGGGCACATCGACATCATCAGGTAAGAGGTCTCTGCATACTGGGGGGGGGAAAGTAGTGGGGGGAACAGAGGCAAAAATTGTGGAATCGGAGAAGGAGAAAGGAGTGGTGACAAATGAGTAAGTGGAATGGCAGTGGAAATACAAGAAGAAGAATAGAGAGGGGCTTGATGATGTCCTGTTGAAGGAGAAAATAAAGTTGGACATTTCCAACCATTAGCCTGCATTTAAAGCATCCTCAGTTCTCTGTAGCGTGACAGGCTATCATTACAGCACTTTGTTCAGCTCATCATGAAATAAGAGAAGATCTGGTCATGCTATCTACACTGTGTCCTGTGCTTCAGAGGCCGTGTAGCTGGAATCCACAGCAGGAGACAGGGAAGAATCCTCTTTGCACAGAGTGTGTTCAGCCCTCTGGGGTTTCTGATATTTAATAAGAACTTTGTGTGTTTTAAAGCTTGTGGTGTCAGGAACAACAGGAATAAAAGAAAACAGCTTATCATCTGACAAAATCGGAGAGAAACCAGCTACAGTGCTAAGAGCCACTCAGCTCTCTGTGCTTCCTCCACTGAGAGATAAGACCTCCTCAGGCTTGGTTTTCATGCCAACGGCCGGCGAAAGCTTTTGCTGAAGAAAGACTCGATTTTAAGGAATTTCACAGCACCCAGCTGCCCAGGGGGCAATTCATTTTGAGTTTCGTTTCATGTGGCTTCAACTGTTTGCCAGAATCAATGGTTTCCTTTGTACCTCTGATTTCTGTTTAATTTCTGTATACCCAAGGCTAACAGCAGAGGGAAACAATGAAGATACAGACAGCTGCCTTATCCAACACCAGGTCCAAGTGTTAAGAGCTGATGCTGAGCTGCGTTACTGCCTTGAGCTCATGGTTTAAGCAGTAAGCGGTGATTGAATGAGAAAGTCCGGATTGTGTTGTTTTGTTGACTGTCAGGAGCTGACTGTGGGATTCCTCACCTAGTGGTGGACTGTTGTCCAAAAGCTGCTCCCCAGAGCTCACAGTAGTGTCAATGAGAGACGTCCACTCTTCCAGTCAGTTCTAACTCATATAATAATTGCTAATAATTGCTTACACTTATATAGCGCTGTTCTGGACACTCCACTCAAAGTGCTTTACACGTAATAGGGACTCCCCTCAACGATGATGCGACGGCAGCCATAGTGCACCAGTTCACTCACCACACACCAGCTATCAGTGGGGAGGAGAACAGAGTGATGAAGCCAGTTCAGAGATGGGGATTATTAGGAGGCCATGGTTTGGAAAATTTAGCCAGCACACCGGGGTTACACCCCTGCTCTTTTCAAGAAACACCCTGGGATTTTTAATGACCACAGACAGTCAGGACCTCTGTTTTATGACTCATCCAAAGTACAGAACCTTTTCACAATATAGTGTTCCCAGCACTATACTGGGGCATTAGAACCCACACAGACCGCAGGGTGAGCGCCCCCTACTGGCCCCACTAACACCTCTTCCAGCAGCAACCTTAATTTTTCCCAGGAGGTCTCCCACCTGCTGAGCTTCAGTGGGCTGCCAGTTGTGAGTTGCAGGGTGATATGGCTGCTGGCCACGTGGGTGTGTCTGAGCAGTGTGGTGCATGCGTTTTAGAGGTAAGCCAAGCAGGTCAACAGCTGGCTCCACATTTTAAGGAGAGAAGTGAAAATGAAAGAATGTAAAACATACGGCACAGAAAGGAAATGAGGGCCCACGAGCATAATCTGCTTTTAAAGCTACTAACAAAGCATTTCAAGGAGAAGGGATGAACCGCTGCTTATTTTCCACACGAAACGGCAGAGAAGCGTCACGCTGAGCCTGTTTCAGGTGTGGCCCAGCAGTGCAGGAGAGGTGTGAAGAGCTGCCCTGCCTGGCTCTCAGCCTCTCCGGGAAGCGAATCCCAAGACTGAGCAAGGGGCTGAGAGGGAGACTGTCAGCAGCCAGTCGCCCTCCACCCTGCACACAGCCAGGGCCTCCCATCGGGTGGTGTACCGAAAGAGCTTCCCATCGTCAAGAGAGCGAAACGGCACCAGGAGAATTCATCATGCACAGAGAGGGGAAAGAGGAAAGGGCTGACGTCGATAAAACTCTGTGTAATTTGCTTATACAGAGCTGTACAGCTTCGGTAATTCAATTCAAACTGTTGATTTGAAGTTTGGAATGTGAAGGGGGACAGCAATGTTAATTTACCATATATTCAAATTCACACTACTTTCAGCAAACTATAAATGATGTTCTGGAGGTACAGCAGAGCGCCAATTTCAATGCCCCTTAATGTGATTTCACCCAGGAAGATATGAGCCAGGGCAGACAGACTCTTCTTGCAATATGATCAGGGCTTCCTCATAATAAATGTCAGAATGTTGTCTAGTACTGCAAGAAGGACAACCTCCCCTTTGCAGTCGATGTGCTCACTCTGTGATGAAGAGCTCCCCCACAAATTAAAGTGGAAAGTAATTTTCTCTGAATGAGCATATCAAGGTGTTCGGAGTCTCGCAGTCCTGATTCATTCTGTCATGAAACCAAGAAATAGACTCGCAGCGATTAATTGTCTTTCCAAAGCACCGCACACTGGAGAAAACATTATGAATGCCTCTCTGCTCACAAACGTAGTGCCATTTATTTGTCTGTATTTATCTGTCTGGGTTTTTTTTTTTCTTGTTGGAAGTGTAGCTGGTTTGCATTTCAGAAGGGGGGAATCCTATGAGCTTCACAGCAACTTTGATGATCAATTTGAAGAGTTCTAAATGGGGTTTTTTTTCACCCTCAGCTGTGTTTCTTTCTGAAAAGTCGCGTTTTCTAGGAAATGGTTGGGAAAATGAAAGCGGTTTTACTGAAACTGAAACTGGAATGCCAAGGTATCCTCCACCTGCAATCTTTTTTAATAAAGGCTGTGTAACATTAGACTCATTAGACTACTTTATCCAAGTGTGTTAAAGTGTTTTAAAGATGCATGTTTTATTCATATGCAGAACTATTACAAATGAGTTTGGCAATTTATGCCCTCATTTAGGTTCATTTGCATTAATCAGCAGGATCCCTGAGCTTTTAGGAACATCAGGTGTGCAATCTGCATATTGCTTGTGTTTTGGGTGTGAGAGGAGGAGGAGGAAATGACAGTAGAGAGGAAGCAATTAGAGCACTGATGAGTGCGATTCAATTAGCGCGGATCAGAGCTGTTCACTGAGTGCTGAACTTTCTATGGTGTTTCCGAAGAGCAGGAGAGCATCACCCCAGAGCTGATGGGGAGACAGTACAGTACAAGCCTATACAAGCTTTCAGTAAGTAAGGGCTATGCCAAGCCAGAGCCCGAAATCATTCAGAAAAATCTTTTTCAGATGCAGTGCAGTGAGATTGGGTTGTATTAGTCCCCTATTACTCCAGTCAGTCCTGCCCTGCTTCACCAAGCCTGGACTCTGTGCTGAATTCTGTTTGGAGGAAGTCCTTGAAGAGTGTGGGTCAATGTCACTTTGTTCAAATGCATGCCGACTTCCATTTAAAACTTTAATTCTTGTTCAGCTCTGTGTGTAGTGCAAGTGTTTTGATTAGCTCTGCATGTGGAGCTGAATCCAGTCCATTTCATTTCACTGCAGAAGATCACAGATCCCCACTGTCTATAGCTGCATTGTCCTGGTTGCCGATGGCACTGTGAAATGAAGAGAGAGTGGGCAGACCATTGAATTAACCACAGGAAGATGACTGATTGCGCTTTTCATGTCGGGAATAAGTGTGAAACCTAGAAGAATCACAGCCAGGATGTGCTGTAGAATGTGACATGCTGAGGCAACAGCAGTGTAATTATTTGAGTCAACACACATGACTTTAATGGCAGAATGGCACATGCAGTCCACTGTGATTAGAAACCCTTAATCATTGCAGCAGTGAACAGGATACAGCTCCCTGGCTGTTAATGACAGAGGCAGTAGCTGCAGTGCAACAGTAAAGCTATGCAGTTCAAACCTGCATTTTGGATTACTTTAAACATGTTTCTCAAATCAAGGTAAAAGGTGTTCTATTCAGATTTGGGTGTGTGAGAGAATGAGCATAGTTTGGAAACCATTCAAGACAAATAGTTTGAGCTTTGAAAACTACTGCCATTTCTCAAAATAAGCATAGTATTTAGGCAGCTGGACTCTTGAAAGCCAGGCCAGCCTGTCTTCGGAATGTGTGAATGTGTGTAGCTGTGCCTGTTGTAAATGCATGTGTGTCTGTGTTGATCACTCTGGATGTGAGTTTTAGTTCTGAGGTGCATCTGAGTGAGAGCGTGTGTGCATTGCACAGGGAGTGCAGAAGTGAATGTTTGTGTAGGTGCGCGTCTGTGTCTGGGTTGTAGAATGGCTGTATTGTCTGGGGCTCCGAGATGGTGTTACACTCACTAGAGGCCCAGATTTATACAGCAGGTTCTCGTGTTTCCCTGGGCTTCTGGAACAAGGGCAGATACATGGAGCTGCCTGGAGAGGGGGGTGTGGTTTCTGGGAAATCCAGAGAGCAGCAGCCCGACTGATTGCCCTCAGGAACCTCAAAAACAGCTGCCAGCCGCCTTTGCACTCTGAGAGAACGTTCTTATTCTTCCTTAAAATTTGTAGCCCGAGGAGACAAAAAAGGACCTCCTGCCCACTGAGGCTTGTTGTTAAAATATGTCTGATCCCTCTGTATCCTGCTGTCCTATGGGGAGACTCCAGGGAATATAGGGTTCCGTCCCAAGCAAATTAGCACCCTACCAACCATGTCAAAGAGCTCTGAAGTTGAACAAAACCTCACAGTGTCTGAGGAGTGACTGTTTCCTTGCTAAAGTGCCTTTCCCAGGCTGACCACACAGTTAGCTTTGAGTTTTTCCATTATGCTGTGTGTTGGAAGATAATTTTGCCAGGATGCTGTATCCCCACCGTCCCCTGAGTTTCAGGAGACCAGTAGCATGGCATGGGATGGGATGGGGAGCAGAGTTCGCCGTTGGCACAAAGAGAAAACCTTCACAGCACAGAGAGGGGAGAGGTTGGTTTACAGTTAGAGCCAAGGAGTCTGGGATGTGGCTCCTAGGACATCCTCCTGTCTGGAATAATATGTTGATAATAAGGAGCTGGCATCCAGATAGCACCATCCTCTTTCAAAGTGGATTGCACCCTCGCCAGGTGGCCAAATCACACCGCTGATCTGCCTTGCTCACAGCAACCTGGGACTGTACTCATATCATGAGCAAAGGACAAAATGGCTAGGAGTGATTCGTCATGAGTATTCTCTGTAACCACCCTTCACACATGCAATCACATACACTGTGTCCCGTCCTCACTACCTTAAAGGACAGTGCTGCAGCAGCAGGAGTGCTACACATCATTAATTTGCCCAGGAATCCATCTCCTAAGCTTCTGCAGTCTGTAATTATCCTGTGCACTGTGATGATCAGTAGCGACCTGCGCTCACAATAACAAAGAAGGGCATAATCACCCCCCCCCCCCCCATCTGCTGCAAAGGGACATGGAGAGAGGCAAAGAGATGGTGTGGTGTGATCACAACACCTACCGCAAAATGTAAGACGCCTGAACATTTACACCACAGCCCAACAGAAAGCAATTAGAAAGCCGTTACTTGTGTAATTACATTCATCGCCCTGGGAGGAACATCGCTCACAAAGTTACAACGCCAGCAAATAAATTAATTGATTGACTGGAGTGCCTTAGTACATCGGGTGAAAATCTAATACGTCTACGTTACCGAAGTCTGAACAAACACTCCAGGTCTTACATGTCCCAGGTGCTCATGTCCTGCTTCTCAGTAGACCGGGCTTGTCTTGTTTGCAACAGCAGCACATTGTCCCCTTGAGCCTGAACTCTACTGTAACACACCCTGTGGCAGGGGGTCATAAAATCTACAATAATAATAATAATAATAATAATAATAATAATAATAATAATAATAATAATAATAATAACATCACTTTTATTAACCCTTACAATTTCTTGCATTAGGAATTATCTTTTCGCATACCCCAGCTTGCTCTCCATGAGACACACAGACACACAGAAAGGGAGAGAACCTTATGGCAGTTCTAGGTAAAACACATGCACCCAAATAGCCCTATTTAAGGTACAAAATAGTGCTCCTTTCTTTACAGTGCAAGCTTGTGTGCCTCTTTGAGCTTCCCACTAGACTTTCACACAAGCCTTCTCTATAAGCACCACTGGACAAGTAATCTGTTTACCAGCTCCAAAGCAAAGCCTTTCCCCAAGACTGTTTACAGACCTTACAAAGTTCCTAGTGTCACTATCCCTCACTCCATTCGACACTTCCTTCCCTCTCTCACTCTGCCGCAGTCACAGAGCCGAGCAGAGGATCTCCTCTCTCCTCAGACAGCAGATATAAACCGACCCCAGAAGCCTCAGCTTCCTTGTTTTTGAACAGTCCCCCAACCAATTGTCTTCTACCAGCTGTAGAGATATTTCACCTGTCTATCATTACGACGACAGATCATTCTCCACAGCATTCTGGGAAATATGGTTAGACAAGAACTGGCATGTAGTCTCCACCTTTTACCCTCTTCACACCAGAGGGGGCCAGACATTTTCTTACATTTAACGGAATCTCTGAGATGAAGTTTAGTATAGCTGAGTAAACTAACACTTTATCCATAGGTGCTACAAACATCTCACTGTTGTGGTGTGGTCTGATTTCCAGAGAACCGCTGAGCCTGAAAATGAATTTTAAATTTACCCCAGGGGGTGTAACGTGCTCAAATGCACAACTGCAGTGTCCCAGCCACAATTGGAACCTTCCAGTTATGAGTCCAGAGTCACCGGGCTCAGTGCAGCCCAGTGTCACATCAGGGTTCTTTGGGGACTTTGGGGGTCACATTAGGGTTTTAAATTATGTTACCGCTTTAATAAATAAAGTTTTGTTTTAGAGTTTTAGAAATGCTAAAAGTAAAAACATGTTAATTTTTCATACTATTTTTATTGTAAATATTCATATAGATATATATATTTCTGTGTACTAGAATGTTATATAACTCTGCCCAAGAAAATGCAACAGTCCAGGCTAGTGATAACCTAACCTGCCTTTCTTAAGGTTTAGTTGGTGATCTCAGTTAGGACAGCTTTAAAAATAACCTTTCCAAAAATGCCGAGCATCAATAAGAAGTTATGGCTTATAACCTCAACACACACAGTTATTATCAAGAAAATGGCAAAGCCGTTACTGTAGCAGGTGCATTGACATTTTGTTGAGCCGACATAATGTACAAAATTAATTATACTGATTAACATTGGTCATCATCAAGGGTTGATCAACAGGAAGTCTACTGTGAAAGTCATAGACAAGTAGAGTGTGAGGCCACTGTCTGCAGCAATACAAGCTCTACATCTGGGACACATCCTTTGCACCAAGTTACAGATACTGTCTGGTGGGATACTGTCCCGTTCCTCTCATAGAACCTGAACAAGCATTCACCGTTCACTGGTCTCTGAGCCCTAGATGTCACACGTGAATCATCTCGCTCCTTCCCACAAATCTTCAACAGGGCTTAAGCCTGGCTTAATAGAGCATCCATGATATTAACTCACATTCTCAACTTACAGGAAACCTCTGATTACACAAGCAGCATGATGGCATCTTTGTCCTGCTTGAATGGGTTCACTCTTGGATGAGCCTGCAGCATGTGAGATCTCCAGGCTCTTAGACTTGATCAATTTAGCGCCTGGCAGTCAGGTTGCCAGCAGCTACTGCAACCAAGTGGTGTTTCATAGGGGCTGGACACTCATGCCCAGACCCTGACACTTAAGGCCTCATTATTTTGTCTGTTGCACACAACAATTAGTGTTTCATTTTGCATTTCGCATCACATGCAAAGACAGTGTGGCCTACGCAGACCCTTACATGGGAACTTTGCTTGTGTGTTCATGTGTTGCTGAACTTTCTGCCCAACAGAAAGTTCAATAGTTGAGTGATTGAGGTGAGGAGGAGGAGTACGTGTAATGGGTGGAATCTAATCACCACACTCTTGCATTATTTGTATGTAAAAGAAAAAAAAACACAACTATTTATTTGAGAAATTTTCATTTGGCCAAATTATGAATCTGTCCATGTAGTGGCTACAAAAGTATACTGATAATTGCATTTGTTTATCCAATTCAACTCCCATGTATGTCAAAAAGAACCAAGCATATAATAACAGAACTTTTTACACCTTCAACATACATACTGTATTTAACCAGTCTGCTTTAAGTTCACTCTCATCATTTGATTACTCACAGTACCGATATGTCCTTAAAATGGAGGAAAAAAAACATCCTTCTCATCCAAAACATTGAGGTCAGCGCAATATAAGACATCATGAAGAGGCACCAATCACAGCTGGCAGATGCTGAAGGAAAAGGAAAATCCCAAGTCCCTTCCAAACTCCCAAAGTGGTTCTTCTGTAAGCTACACAAGCTTATTTACCTCCTGCGGCTGTCCTTTCCCTCCAGACCACTGCTCCTACAAACCCTGAGGCTGCTCTACCTCGGGCTTTTATAGACTCGAAAACCCCTCCCCCTTACTCGCATTGGCTATGTGTAATTACGTCAGGATTTATTGGACCGTCAATGATGAAACAGGGAGGAGCTATCTACCATGTGCTTGACTGTGGAGGCTGCCATTTTGGGTCGCCTCAAGGTCAGCCCACGGATACATAGTAATAAACTCACACTTCTTCTCACACACAACAGCCAATAGAAATGCAGAAAAGAAAATACACTGGGCCTGGGGCAGCTTGAAACAGAACCTTGGAAAAATTGTGTTTACCTTCAGCTTCCTAGAAACATTGCAGGGAACTATTTTATAAGCACAAGCGACCGTGAAAGGGGGGATGCTTTCGCACCAGTGCGTGCTATTTTAACCCAGTCCCTCGGTTTTGGGCCTGTTTTCCTTTCCTGGTCTCGTCCACAAACTTGTGCTCCTGTTTCCCTGCCTGCCCAGGTTGCTCATCCAGGCTGGGATCGACATCAACAGGCAGACCAAGGCTGGCACAGCCCTGCACGAGGCTGCGCTCTGCGGCAAGACAGAGGTGGTCCGCTTGCTGCTGGATGTGAGTGTGCCTGGGGTCAGGGGACAAGACAAAACGGGGGGCTACTTGGCATTGGGAGCATACAGTAGGGAAAAGAAGGACAAAAATGGTGGAAAACAAGTACTAGGGAGGAGACAATGGAGGGGCATTAGGATGTGGGCATAAATCATCTTAGATTTCAGATCCACATGAGATGATGCCTCTTCACTTGATTGACGCACACACTGCATAGACCTCGATCTGTATTGTGAGTGCTTCCATTAATTTTACTGACAGTAATTATGGAGCTCACTGACTGATGCGCTTTAAAACAGAACGTAATTAAGTACTGATTTCCTCAATATTTCTTTTTAACATGCATTAATGAATCCTGCAGGTTATCTGTTGTGTTCGGCTGCATTAACTTGGACACATCTCATATTTATTTAGGACAGGTGGTCCTCAGCTGCAGTCTTCATTTTCATTCTGTCTCAGCTTTGAATGACCTAACTGAGCTAATTATTTAATGCTTTCCCCAAACATGGAACTAAACATAACTTAAAGTACTGTAATAACTGAACTGTAATAACTGTAGTATCTACTGGATTCTGATCTTTGACAGTCAAAGCTGTGGACATCTGACTTGTAGTGTTCTCTGCCTTCAGGTCTTATGCGATCAGTATAGCAGAGTCTAGGTTAAGGATATTCAATGTGACCTCCTTCCTGACCCTTCTCAACTCTCACCCCTCCCTGCAGAGTGGAATCAATGCCCAGGTGAGGAACACCTACAGCCAGACAGCACTGGACATCGTCAACCAGTTCACTGCCACCCAGGCCAGCAGGGAAATCAAGCAGATGCTTAGAGGTGAGACAAAGAAAGACAGTTTACGTGAATGAGGGTGCAAAACTGAAAGACTGCCCATAGTCTAGTGTAGAACAGCAAGTGTGAGTCAGTCTGGTAAAAACTCCCAGGTTTTGCCACACTGGGAGTCATGATAAGCTAAGATAGAGCTAAGTCCTCAAATGCAGTCAGCATCAGCTTCATTTGTTTAGATCGGTCCTGTTTTGTGTGTCTGGTCTGTAAAGTTACTTATATTTGGCAGTGTTTGTTAGATGTTTGTTAGATGTACAGAGCTGATAAAGCACTTGACCTTGAATGGGGGGAATGGAGAGTGAAAGAGAAAGACAGCTAAAGAGAGAGTCAGAGGATCAGAGAGTGACGGGGCAGATTTATTTTTTTATAGGCACAATACTAAATGCTGTCCTGCTGTTGACACCTTAAACTAATAAGAACTAGAAGCACGAAGAGAACGAAAGTGAGATGATGAATTTTACAGTGTGCTTCAGCAGTACTATGTTTTAATGATACTCAGTCCTCATGCAGTATCCTGCTTTTGAACAACTGGTACCACTTAACCAAACCCCGCACGGTACTGTCTACCCTCCCTTTGTATCTCTTTGTACAGATGCCTCTGCAGCCCTGCAGGTCAGGGCCCTGAAGGATTACTGCAACAACTACGACCTGACCAGCCTCAACATCAAAGCTGGTGATGTCATCACGGTGAGCTCCGCCTTTAAACAGGTTGCCGTGACGTTCTGTGGACACAGCAGAACTAAGGGGTAGGAATGCGCGGTGAACTCATGGTAAAAGGGCTGTATCAATAAGAGCTACACAAACATAGGAAACTGAGGCAGAGCGACTAAATTGCATAAGCATAGTTAATCCTCTAATATGGGACGTGAAGAATAGCTGCACTGAAAGGGTGGCAGCCTGGAATTGTTAGGATTTTTTTACAGGTACAGACTCTGCTGTGCATATGCATGTGCATCAGTATTTTGAGCAAACTAGTTAGAAAACACCAGCAAATGTCCGAAGAGCCAGTAACATCAGCGCCTGTGCAGCACTCACAGAGAGAACGAGCAAAATGCTACGCATTGTTTCACTGTGAAGTCTGTAGAGGGCAGTGTAGGCCTTTTTTTCCTTCAGTCCTCCTGTTAAACAATACAGTACAGTAGGTCATGTTCAAAAACAGGCTTGTCTCTCTGAAATAAATAAGCTGGTGGTTATTTTGTGACCACAGTTACTTCTTTGGAAGTTTGTGCACGTGAACAAAGATATTACCCGCAGCTACCAGAAAATAAACTAGGTCTTTATTTCTTTTGAGTGACTTGGTAGAACAGTTACAACTGAGTTCCTCGTCTTAAAGGCTCACAGAAATGACTATTTAGACCCCTTTGTTCCTTTATTCTAAATGCCTATATGTGCTGATAGAGAGTTATTGCTTTGGAAGTGTTGACATCTTTTTTCAACTTAATTATCAAATTGCCTCAATGTCTCACTTCGCCTTCCCACTTGACAGGTGCTGGAGCAACACCCTGATGGCCGATGGAAGGGCTGTATCCATGACAACAGAACAGGAAATGACAGAGTGGGCTACTTCCCTTCCAGCATCGTGGAGGTCATCAGCAAGAGGGCAGGTGCGCTTTCATGGAACACAAAAGGAACAAGGTTGAGAGAGTGGGTGGGCGGGCGAGTGGGGGAAGGGATTAGAACCTTCTTGCAGGAGTGCTTTATCACAACAATACGTAAGAGCTTTTTGTATGATTGAGCTGAACTGTATCATTGAAATGAATGAACTGAATGATCAGTGAGCTTCTGATAAACCCTGGCGTAAACAGGTCTACAACAGGGGTCTGAAGCCTAGTGTTGCCAAAGCAGGCATAAAGTGGCATGCTGGATCAGGAATAGGGATTTCTGTGCAAGTATCCCTACAGAGTTTACAGAATGGATGGAGACCCTTTATAAAAAGGTCAGCAGCAGCATCTAGGGTTTCCTGGAACCCAGGCAAGAAAGGAATTGGTTAATGGCCTTTGTGTAGAGGAGGACATGTAGGTTGGATCTCTTAGAAGAAAAGCTAATGCTTCTGAAAGACCTCCTTTTTCCACCAATGGTCCTGCTACCACCAGAGGCCCAGAGTGCATGGCTGCCTCCACTTCTAGCAGAAGCCTGTGGAGTGCTTCGATGACACAGGCTGCAGTCAGGGGATCGCCCAGGTGCATGCTGAGGTCCAGAAGGCAGAAACGTGAGGGGAGGGCTCAGGGTTAAAGAGAAGGAAGTGCTTCGAAGGGACACAGCAGGTGGATTAAGAGAGAGCCTCAGTGAACCGCCACTCTGATGGGTGCTGAGGTTTTTGAGTTGGTGGATCTTTGTGTGGGCAAATGGCCGTGCTCTCGGCATGCGGGGGCGTGTCCTCCGCCACAGCTCTGCGCGTAGGGTCGCCTCTCTGTGTCGGACTCGTCCAGATCGGGCTCTGGCTGCTGCAGCCAGCACCTGAGGCTGCACAGCTCAGCTCTCATCCCTGGGGCCCAACGCCGGTCCATCCCCTAATGGTGTCTCCGAAAGAGAGGAATGCTTCACTGCAACCGGGAATACATCCCAGACCAGCTTGGAGTGTTTGCTTTTGATGCTGGGATGGTTCAGTTGCACTTTTGGACTGTTGTTGGCTCCTCTTTCTATTGGCTAATGTGTTGGGTGCTGGGTGGACATTGCTTCTCAGCTGGTTAAACGATTCATCTAAAGGACCACATGGGGAGCTTCAGTTTTACTAGCTATATGATCTCCATCTCAGCTAGGGCTGCCCAGGAGGTACTAGTGTAGTCCATGGTAATCTTCATACTCAGAAAGTAATTATACCCTTTAAGGTTGATGATTTTGCAATAATAAAGAAAAAGTTTAGACCCGTTCAAGGGATGCAAAGTCCCTCTTTTCTGTCTGCTACGTCACTCTTCGTAGTGCCACTCCTCACAGTCCCCAGTGGCCCCAATGCCATCAATTGTGAAAGCCAACATCCTACAATAGGAAACAGAGAAACCTGGCTTTCACCAGGAGCCCCAGACTGCAGTCTATTGGTCGACTGAGTCATGACCACCTCAGAATGGGCTTGTGCTCAAAATTCAATTTCCATGCTCAGCAGTTCCTGCCTGTACTCCACGATGCCGCTGAATGGTTCAGTGTACGTTTGTGGTCTTTATTCTCCCTAAAAACGCTTGCTGTATTTTTCCAGTTGCCCATTTCTACATTCTGCAAGGGGAGGTGGTACAGACGGATTGAATTTAGATTACACTGCACTTGGTTCCCTCTGTGGCTGTAGTTACACCTCCAGCTGTTTCCTGGAATCTTTCAGAAGAGTGTGACATTTTACAGCGGCTGGTTTTTGCGAACCTCTTGGCTTTGGCAAGATTAAAGCATGCCTTTTTGTTTTTCAAACTCTACAATGTCTTGAGTGTGCAGAATTTTGAGAAACTGATTCAGGGTACTTTGACTTCTGTGGAACATGCTGGTCCCCATAGAACTATATATATGCAAGTCCCCATGATGGCGACAGGCTATAATAAATAGTCCATATTGTAGTGTCATTGTTAACTGAATGCTTGTGTAACATATTCCCAAGATTATACGTAAGATATTTCAGGGGAACTCAGTGTTCCATTTAGTTGCCCATTTAAATCATAAGTCTAAGATGTGCAAACAGAGAATAGCATTGCATCACAAAGTCAGTTCTCCCAGAAAATGGTATTTTAAATAATCCAGCTGGCAGCGGGCAACTGCCCACAGAGGCAGTTTGGCCACTGAAGGCAGAATCTCAGCCCAACCCAGAGGGATTGCAAACATTCTGAGTGCGGTTCTGTAGTAGCCAGCCTAGATGCTTAACATCTGAGCTTTGGCCTGCCAGCAAGACAGGGGAGGTCACCCCTCTTACATCCCTGCCCTATGACAGCACGCGGGTATTTTGTAAGTATAAATAGAACAGCAGGTTTGAGGAACCAGTTTTTCTCTCAGAGGCAGAGTGAAGTGAACTTCCCGCAAAAGAAGGTGTCTTCGGATTTCTAGGAAAATGCATGGCCAATGAAATGAATTATTAGACTTTTGTTTGTTGACCACAGCCAGCTCCTTCAGTCTGATCTTCAATGGCAAGATCACAGCCTGGTTTCAGTGTCATCTCTCCCTGTCCGTCTCTATCTTGTCCATTGAGTGCCTCATTCTCCACACAGACATCAAAGCCATCTGTGTCGACATGCCACAACGCTTTCAACCAAATCCAGGACTTCAGCACCTTTTTCAAATAGAGTTTTCTATTCTTATACACAATCAGAACTGTCACTTCATTTCTGCATTTTGTGGTGGTGTTGGCAGATAAGTAAATAGTTTAATAAAAATTTAAAAAACACAAACAATGCAGGCAGAGTAGAATGTACAGAACTAGGCACACACACTTTTGTTGTAAATGGATGGTTGGACACTTCTTATTGGTCATCCCAGATGTCCATTGGGGACATTGCGGTTATCTGCAATGTGGATGATACTATGTGACAAAAATTGAGTTTTTAATCAAAGTTTCGGGAGGAAAATCAGATTGTAGTCTGCCTACTTCTGCTCTCCTATATAGAGTATGTGTACCTCCTTGCACTCTTCTCTTTGCACATCTCTCTCACTTCCCTCCCTCCACCCCATCGACACCCTTGCAGCGGCTCATTCCTCATGATAGTGAGGGGAGGTTGGGTCAGCCTCATCCTTACCGCCATTCAGCTAGGAGAGTTACGCCAACCTCTCATACATTTCGACTCTATATCACAGTGATCAGGGCCTGACCAAACTACTGAAATCACAGATTGTAAGCGGAATAAAAGGAACTGTCTAGCTACAAGCGAGTCTCCGTCGATGAGGAATGAGAGGGCTCCCGCATCCCGCGATGACATAGCAGGGATAACGATTGCTATCGTCATTATATCGTCACTATATCCAGCAGCCATATCACCCTGCAGCTCACCACTGGTAGCCCACTGAAGCTCAGCAGGTGTGAGCCTCTGGAGGGGAGACCTCCTGGGAAAAACTAAGGTTGCTGCTGGAAGAGGTGTTAGTGGGGCCAGCAGGGGGTTCTCACCCTGTGGGTCCTAATGCCCCAGTTTAGAGATGGGGACCCTTACCTTAAAACAGGTGCCGTCCTTCGGATGAGACGTAAAACCGAGGTCCTGACTCTCTGTGGTCATTAAAAATCCCAGGGTGTTTCTCGAAAAGAGTAGGGGTGTAACCCCGGCATCCTGGCCAAATTTCCCAATGGCCCTTACTGATCAAGGCCTCCTAATAATCCCCATCTATGAATTGGCTTCATTACTCTGCTCTCCTCCCCACTGAGAGCTGATGTGTGGGGAGCGTTCTGGCGCACTATGGCTGCCGTCGCATCATCCAGGTGGGGCTGCACATTGGTGGTGGTGGAGGGGAGTTCCCATTACTTGTAAAGCGCTTTGGAGTGTCCAGAAAAGCACTATATAAGTGTAAGCAATTATTATTATTATTATTAAAGATTGAGAGGAGCAGCAGCAGGTTTCCTCTGTACTTAGTGAGCAATCGGCAGCCCTTGGAGACTGTTTCCACACATCCCTGCATGGATGCGCACACCCGCTCTGTCAAGGCATGTTAGCGACTAACATGACAACAACACCCTCTCGGAATTCAGACCGACCCCATTCTCCCTCGCGTCGGAGCCCTGCTTTGAAATTTCATTTAGATACATGTCCTTTACATACGTATCTAAGCATATATGTATGTACACATATATATATGTGCGCTCATTCACACCCATAGCAGTAACACAGCGATAACCGGGGGTGCTTCTGAGGAAGTGAGAAAAATTGGGCTGAATAATAGCTTTAATAATAATAACCTGCTTCCTGCTTTTCGAACGATTTGCTTTGTGTTTATTTATTTATTTTTTTGGGTTGAAGTGATTTGTGTTGCCTTAAATTTGTTTCCCTGTTTCCTCCCCCCCACCCCCCTCTCCCCCTTCTCTTATATTTTGTCGTTGTTGTCGTTGTTGTCGTATCTAGGTTCATGGAATACAGTCATTTGTACCCAACAGTATCAAAAGATACAGCTCTGTGCGCCGGCGTGCGGCCCTGCCGCCGTGGTGAACGGGGACTCGTATCATCAGTTCCATTTCCTGCCGCCTCCTCCACCTCCGCCACCACATTCCCATCAGCCTCTTTTCACTTCCTTTGGCTATAACAGGTCCCACAGCACCTCAGAAGAGCTGCGTTGTGGACAAGGTACAGGACACAGCACTGTGCTTTTTTTTTTTTTTTTCCCCTGATTATTACAGTTAATATTGCCTCTCTTCACAAAACTTTAAGGGATTTCTGCTGGACCTTTCATGTGCTGTAGCCCACAGCAGGGGTGTCCAACCTGAGCTCTGGGGAGCCCCGTTCCAGGCAGTCTTATAGGTCATTCTAAATCGGGGGGGCCTCTGGTCTCGGGGAGCCCCAGTCCAGTTAGTCTTATAGGTCACCCTGAATTAGGGGTCTCCAATCATGGTCCAGTTAGTTAAACGGGTCACTCTAAATTGGGGTTCTGCAGCCCTGGTCAGTCTTATAGGTCTTCCTTAATCACTTGTTACTTAAAGACCACAACCACTTCTTTAAGCAGCTGATTCAGTGAACAGTGGTCCCTAGGAGCTGAAGAATATCCTGATTTTTGTCTCAAACGATCTCTAATTTACTTACTGTAATTTAACACCACCTGTTCAACTGATTATAGTTTAATCGGTGCTCTATAAAACGATCATTTGAATCCTATAAGATCTGTGGGACTGTGGCTCTCTAGCACCAGGATAGAGACCTCTGACCAAAGGGATATTTATGCTTAGATTGTGCTGCACATGAAAAGGTTAATTGTGGCACGTTCTTATTTATGCTTTGTGAAGGCATTTTTTCTATTCCGTGACTAAAACAAAAATTATTCTTTTTACTGACATGTAAACCCCTCTACTCCTCTGTAAAGTTCTGTTTGTTTTAGGCTTTACTCTAAGCCTGGGATGTTCTCCCAAGTAGTTTTGCTATCGATCTGGGCTAATTTGTTTAATATCTCTCTGCCATATAGGTGGCACCAACCAAGCCCTGACATACAGGACAAACGATCTAAAAAAGCATTCCTTGAAGTTTTCTGAAGAGAAATCATTATTTGTTCACTTTTTTGGTTATTTACATCTTTATATGTTTATGTTTTTTACTTCGTTAATCAAACATTTACTGCGGTATACATGGATAAACTAGAGGGAATCGGCTTCAAGTGTCAAAAGTTCAAACCAAAACACTCTTTCCCTTTGAAATGCCCCATATGGATGTATACTGAGGTAAATGTTTTGTAAAGGTCTTGCCAAGCAGTATTTAGTGCTGTACCAAATATATATCTGATTCCCTGTGGGCTCTATATCCCAATTTCCACAGTGAAGCTCAGTGACAGGTGGATGCATGAGGAATTCAAAGATGCTAGTGAGCCAGACCACAGCCCTAGAGCTGTGCGAATTCAGCTAATTCAATGTGAGCCTGGGCCTCAGATATCTTTTTGACGATACTGACTTGCACCCACTTCCTTCTTGTTTTTATATATATCTTTAGGTAAGGTCCATGGTCCTTACTCGCCCCCCCCCCCCCATCTCAAATTTTTGGTTTGTTTCCTTGTTCAGTTGCTTTGCTCCATGGCGTTCAGTGTCCATCTGACCTTTTCCTTTCTAAAAAAACTAAACCTGTCCTGCCCCTGTCCTTAATGCACACTGTTGATGTGGCGACGCGGGTTTTTGGGGTCTGGCGGGTTTTCCCTTCGTAAGACACGTAACGGTTCCGTCACCGGTTCCATTCACAGTACCGTCAGCCAGCTGAGCTGTCAGCAGTCTGTGTGAAGGGTCAGTCCCTGCGTGTCCCGCTATTTATCCTCCTGTCCCTCCACTCTCTTCCTGCTTAGCTCTCCTTACCCAGTCCCGTCGTCTTTGGTTCCTTTCAGTGTGTGTGTGGCCCCATAACGTGCATGTTCACCTTCCTGAAATAGTGCAGTTCTTGCAGTTCCCAGTTCAGTTCTCTTTTTGGTTTTTTTTGTTGTCGTGAAAACTGAGGAGCTCCTGATGCTATCACATGGCAGACAAGTTGAATTCTGGCATTCTGATGTGCTGGATGTTAAATACTAGTGAAGGCCATTCTGTACACTAGATGCGTACAACGTTTCAGTCATACCCCCAACAGGCGTACACAGGGCCCGGACATCCAGGTGCACACTGATACCCGGTCAGTTTCCTTAGGTTTCACTGCTTTTCACTCGTGAGCCAGCACATGGGAGTTTTACGCTGGGAGTTTTGGCTAGTGCTTTGGAAATTTCTCATGCCGGACGAAGAACGCAACAACAGGAAGCAAACATCGGGCAAAACATGTTCAATCAGCAGCTCTCGGATTCAGAATAGCAGAACCGAATTCCTGCGGTTCCCCAAAATCTCCCAGATCCCCAGTAATCCACAACAAAGGTTTTCCATTTCTTTCCCCCTCCTGGGCCAGAGTTTACAAGGGGAGGCGATCTGAGTCTCACAGGCAGGAAGACTCCAATATTCCCTCTAAGCTGTGCGCGCGTGTGGATGCGCACAGAGGTTATGAAATCACACATAGGAAATTTGTCCCACGCACGAAAAAATTAAATTCCCCCCAAAATATGCTAATAATAAAACAAACACGGTCATCAATTGAAAAATGCTAAAATTGACCACATGAGACTGCCTGTGAGAGGCCCAGCTTGGCTGTGTGCTCGATTCTTACTGCTGCTCGATCATCGATATCTATGCTCTTGAACCTCACTGCTCATGCTTGGCACTCAGTCTCTATGACTGGGCCCGATGAATCGCTGTCCCCGTCTTTTGGATCTCTATGCTTCTATGAGGATGACTATAGTCACAAAAAATCATTTCAGGTTTACACTTTGACATACTCTCAATTTAGGGCGCACAAGTTTTTGTCACTGGGAAAAAATTTGCACAACTTGAAAGTTTTGCGCGCACGATTAAAAACGAGAGGGAACATTGGAAGACTCCCGCAGGTTTGATTTTTAAGGAGCGAGCAGTGAAGCCCTGCTAAAAGTGGGGATTTTGGCGAGTTCAATTGAGCAATTTAAAAGCGAATTCCAAAAATCCAGCACAGATCCTGTTTTGACTGGGCTGATCGCTCACTGGCTTCACCTCCTGCCTATTTCCAGCGTCATCAGGGGCTCTGTGCTGAGCTCCAATTTGAGGGGGTTGGGGCTGACTATGCCCCCTTTTCAAATCTTCCCGAATCCCTTCTTATTTTCCAGCTAGAGGAACCCCAGTTTCCGTGTCCCCCGATATCTGAAACGCCTCTCCATCCTGTCTGGTTCGAAAGGGGGTCACAGCAGTATTCTGGGCAGTTTTAAACTTCTTCCCCTCCTGCGATTTTGACTCCTTTGCCCCAGTCTCGCCACACTGCCTGCTTAAGGGTAAATGCATGCTTGTTGCCCTCGCTTTCCTGAGCCCAGCGGTGTACCCGCTGCAGTGCAGTTCAGCTGAAGCCCATGGGGAAAGCTCACACTGAACACATTGCTACGAAGGTAGGTCTGCGTTTCGACAGGCGGCTCCTCAGTCTGGAATTCTCGACCTCCTTCTCCATCACCTGCAGCCAGGATTCCAGGGAGCGAGCCGAGAGGCCTGAACACATTCCTCAGTCCAACCTGCAGCTGAAATCAAACTTGAACAATTTCAAAAAAGCCCATTCCCCCGGGAGCTTGTGTGTCGCCTTGCCAAGATGCAAAGCCTAGCGCGGCACAATAACCTTGCAGTTAAGGCCAGGCCTGGCGTTTAGCTCTTGGGCGTATTTTAGCGCATCCTAATCGACGGTAGCATTTCTGTTTTGGGTTCGTATTCTCAGGGTTCCAACCCATTTAATAAACCACTCAATCCGTACTCCTGTGGTTTATGATGGACCAGTTTATGATGGAAATAGTTCTTTGGAGTGCACTGCAGCCCATATATATGTATATCTGTGTATATACGCACTATATATATATACATGTGTATATGTTAACTTATATATACATGTATGTATGCATGCCTATATATATATAGGTATGTGTATATACATTATATAAAGATGTTACTTGTCTGAGCTCATCTGTGTAACAGACAGTTCCTGACAGCTGGCCAGGTCGCCCTAAGTGGATGACGATTCCAGTACTCCCAGAACCACTGCCCTCTGCCCAACCCACCTCCCCTCCTTCCCCTGCTTTGTTGAGGAGCATGGCCGGGGGGCCGGGGGGC